CTCAAAGACATAGGCTCTGTGGGTCATAGGCACAACCTAGGCTCCGAAAGGTTCGAACTGCTCTGATACCAATTTGTAACACCCCCATTTCTTAAACTACATAAACTATCGAAAATACATACAATTTCTTTTTAAAACGAATGTAACTGCGGAAGAGAAAATAAAACTAAAAGAAATGGAGAGAATTTGATGATGATAGAGGAACAAGACCAATCATGATTGAATCGATGACAAAGAGGAATAAGTTTTTTGTTTTTTTTTGTCTTTCCTTTCTATTCAGCGGTATTGTGTTAGCAAGGGGAGAGGATTTTATGAATCAGCTACTGATGAGGATGGGAACAATTAGACAACTATTTAAATACTTAACTAATAACTTATATTATAAATAATAATTCTAGTTGTAGGGAACTAAAATACTTAAAAGCTTAATATAATATTAATGTACATATTAGCCTACTAGTACTTAACATATATACATACGTAACATATATATAAATAAATAATTATTAGCTATAATACACAGTTTAAAAATAAAAGAGTAGCAGTAGTAGACTAGTTTAAATAGTTTTAAGTCACATAAAATAATATAATTACAGACCGTATAGTAAAAATGTTTTATTTAACATAATATCTATTTTATAAAATTTTATTTAGAACAATAATATTTATAACAAAATACTCAAATAACCGGGGTATCACAATATATCCTCCTTAAAGATGATTCGTCCCCGAAGCATAGCCATAGAAAAATACCGGGTATTACAATCTTACCCACTTAAAAGATGCTTCGTCCCCGAAGCATAACCATAAGACAACAAGGAATAACGGAGACTTGACCAACAGGGAACTCAAGAGACTCAAACTTAAGTTCAATTCACCACAATAAAGACAAGGTATTACACTCACCCTCCTAAGATATATATATATACATATATATATATATATATATATATATATATATATATATATATATATATATATATATATATATATATATATATAGTTACGTCCCTGTAACTTTCATGCAAGTTCTTGCCCAAGCTCTTAGCAAATAAATTATCAAAATAATCCAAAAGTCACCATTAAGAAAAATAAACAACAGATATATATAGTAGACAAATAAAATCACCAGGATCCAAAACAATTTATCAAAATAATGCAAAATGATCAAATAACTATGCAACAAAATGCAAGGTCTCACTTCCTCACCGTGATTTTCAACATTTTAAATTCCTAGTCAATTTTATTCCTAAGGTCTCAAAATCATAGGCTCTGTGGGTCATAGGCACAACCTAGGCTCCGAAAGGTTCGAACTGCTCTGATACCAATTTGTAACACCCCAATTTCTTAAACTACATAAACTGTCGAAAATACATACAATTTCTTTTTAAAACGAATGTAACTGCAGAAGAGAAAATAAAACTAAAAGAAAAGGAGAGAATTTGATGATGATAGAGGAACAAGACCAATCATGATTGAATCGATGACAAAGAGGAATAAGTTTTTTGTTTTTTTTGTCTTTCCTTTCTATTCAGCGGTATTGTGTTAGCAAGAGGAGAGGATTTTATGAATCAGCTACTGATGAGGATGGGAACAATTAGACTACTACTTAAATACTTAACTAATAACTTATATTATAAATAATAATTCTAGTTGTAGGGAGCTAAAATACTTAAAAGCTTAATATAATATTAATATACATATTAGCCTACCAGTACTCAACATATATACATACGTAACATATATATAAATAAATAATTATTAGCTATAATACACAGTTTAAAAATAAAAGAGTAGCAGTAGTAGACTAGTTTAAATAGTTTTGAGTCACATAAAATAATATAATTACAGACCGTATAGTAAAAATGTTTTATTTGACATAATATCTATTTTATAAAATTTTATTTAGAACAATAATATTTATAACAAAATACTCAAATAACCGGGGTATCACAATCTATCCTCGTTAAAGATGATTCGTCCCCGAAGCATAGCCATAGGGTAATACCGGGTATTACAATCTTACCCCCTTAAAAGATGCTTCGTCCCCGAAGCATAACCATAAGACAACAAGGAGTAACGGAGACTTGACCAACAGGGAACTCAAGAGACTCAAACTTAAGTTCAATTCACCATAATAAAGACAAGGTATTACACTCACCCCTCCTAAGATATATATATATATATATATATAGTTACGTCCCCGTAACTTTCATGCAAGTTCTTGCCCAAGCTCTTAGCAAATAAATTATCAAAATAATCCAAAAGTCACCATTAAGAAAAATAAACAACAGATATATATAGTAGACAAATAAAATCACCAGGATCCAAAACAATTTATCAAAATAATGCAAAATGATCAAATAACTATGCAACAAAATGCAAGGTCTCACTTCCTCACCGTGATTTTCAACATTTTAAATTCCTAGTCAATTTTATTCCTAAGGTCTCAAAATCATAGGCTCTGTGGGTCATAGGCACAACCTAGGCTCCGAAAGGTTCGAACTGCTCTGATACCAATTTGTAACACCCCAATTTCTTAAACTACATAAACTGTCGAAAATACATACAATTTTTTTTAAAAACGAATGTAACTGCGGAAGAGAAAATAAAACTAAAAGAAATGGAGAGAATTTGATGATGATAGAGGAACAAGACCAATCATGATTGAATCGATGACAAAGAGGAATAAGTTTTTGTTTTTTTTGTCTTTCCTTTCTATTCAGCGGTATTGTGTTAGCAAGAGGAGAGGATTTTATGAATCGGCTACTGATGAGGATGGGAACAATTAGACAACTACTTAAATACTTAACTAATAACTTATATTTTAAATAGTAATTCTAGTTGTAGGGAACTAAAATACTTAAAAGCTTAATATAATATTAATGTACATATTAGCCTACTAGTACTTAACATATATACATACGTAACATATATATAAATAAATCATTATTAGCTATAATACACAGTTTAAAAATAAAAGAGTAGCAGTAATTGACTAGTTTAAATAGTTTTGAGTCACATAAAATAATATAATTACAGACCGTATAGTAAAAATGTTTTATTTAACATAATATCTATTTTATAAAATTTTATTTAGAACAATAATATTTATAACAAAATACTCAAATAACCGGGGTATCACACCTTCTTCTTCTTCTTGGTCCTGAACACCAACATTCCCAGCATCTCCTCCCAAGCTCTGTACGGCGAGATTCAGCTTCCCGACGGGGATCTCAAGCTCAGCAACCAATGCATTTCTCTCAGTGGGTGCTTTCCTGGCGACCTCTTCGAGCGTGATGTACTCCCCGTCATCAATTTGAAACAGGTTACAACTCCGAAGGTTTGTGGCATCTAACACCATTTTACCCACTGGCTTAGGTACCCAACCATCAACACTTACTCCTTTCTTGGCGAAGATCCAGATCAAAACCATACCATATGGCAAACTCTTACGGTTGTGATCTCGGCAAAAGACCATATGATGCAACATTAAAGCTGGCAAGTTGAACTTCACCATATTCTTCAAGCAAAAGGCAAACGTGCACTCTAACTTTCCCAACAGACGACTCTTGTTGTTATTGGGCAGCAAACAGTTAGAAACAAGCATAACTAAGATCCTTTGTTCAGTAGTCAACCATTTCCTTTCCGGCCTCATGGCCTGGGTAAAACCGCTAGTTCGTCCCAAGATATAACTCAAGTAATATCGATAACCCATGTTATCCGTCCCAATCCAGTAGTCACCACTATACTGCGAGACTCCCGTAGTGGTTAAACTTAAAAGCTGAGCCAGCTTCTTCTTAGTCAAAACATTTTTCACACCTCTAACTTTAGAAGTGACTTCCAACTTTCCACCATCCTTAGTCACAGTCATGTGAAGGTAGAATTCTTTCACCAAACTCGGGTAAGTCTCAACCCTGATGGCGAGAAACCCATCCAACAGTCCTTGATAATTCAACATCTCCAACAAAGAGCTTAAAAAAGAATCAGGATCAAAGGTTTTACCTTCCAACACGAGGTAGTGGGCATCCACCCATTCCACTCTTCTCATCAAGTTACTCCTTCTAGGCATGATTCTGAGATGACCCAAAGACTCAAAGTAGACCAAAACTCTTTCCTTTCTTCCTATCCTCTTATTCTCTCTTCTCTCGGTCTCAATTCCGGCTGGGCAGCAGTGGTGGACGTTCGGCGATGGCGAGGTTGCGGTGGCGATGGCGTCGGCGACTGGTGGTGGCGTCGGGCTGCAGGTGGCGTCGGCGGTGATGCTAGGTTGCTACGGGAGGAAGACCGGCGAGTGGGGGGGTTTCTCGGTGGTTCACGGGTGGAAAGAAGGAAGAAGGATAAGGGTTTGGGAAATTTTGGGGGGAAATTGGTAGAAAGAAGGTTTTCATTTTGGGATTTTTGGGTAAAGTGGAAAAAATAGGTTAAAGGGAATTTAAATGGGATAAAGTTCAAGAAATAGAATTGGTTTAAGTGGTTTAAAAGTTGGGTTGGTAACTTACACACCTGGGTTTGAAATTAGGTGGTTACGAATTAAAAGTTTCTTGGTCTTTTTATGCTACAAATAAAAGGATTTCTATAGAAAGAAAAGGTTGAGTTAAAAGGGCATTTACGAGGCTACGAAATTATCACAAGCACGATCCACTCAGAAATAAACAATTAACTCACGAAAGAAACTCACATAAAAAAGACAAGGAAATAAGACAACAAAGGAAAGGCACACTCTCAAGGTAAAGATAGGCTTAGGAAAAGGGTTACCTGCCGTCTCTTCTTCAACCAGCCCCTCCGACTCAGCTTGGGACCGACCCATCACAAACACTCGACCCAGCTTGGGACCGACCCATCACAAACACTCGACCCAAAGGTCTAGCTCCAGCTGCTCCTCGGCTTGAACTCCCTCCCGAAGTTCCACCGGATCCCGAGCTAGGTGGCAACGCTCTTTGATTTGCTTGTAGAGGGCATACGGCAGCCTTGTGACCTCTTTCCCCGCACTTGAAACATCAGAGTGCAAAACCATGGCAATCCTTTCCCACATGCTCCTTTCCACACTTTCTGCATGCAAACGTCTTAGCTTGATCTCCAGACTTTTCTCGGGTTGATCCTTGAGGTGGGGTAGGTGCGATTCTGGCTCGGAAGTCCTGCCTCGGCTTCTTGAAGTTGTGGGATCCACCGTTTTCGTTCCTCTTCTTAGCGAGCTCAAACGACCCTCGCTGCAACTGTTGTACCCGGTACAGGTCATCAACACTCAGATAAGCCTCCTTTAAGGTCTTCGGCTTGCTCACAGTCAACGCCTTTCGAGCCTCATAGTTGAGTACAGCCACGAACTTCTCCACCTTCGCAAGCTCGGTAGGGACTAGCGTCCTAGCGAAACGGGCGAGCTCCAAGAATCGCCTGTGGTACTCCACAACAGACGATGAACCGTGCTGGAGATGTAGAAACTCCTCGTACATAGCAGCTCGGACATGTGACAGATAAAACCGCTCTCTCATTCGATCCTTCAAAGCCGTCTAGTCGAAGTCGGGCTCCTCATGACATGCGGGTCCCTCGTGCACCCACCACATATCATCGTCCTTCAAAGCCGTCTAGTCGAAGTCGGGCTCATCATGACATGCGGGTCCCTCGTGCACCCACCACATATGAGCTTCATGACTGAAGTAGAAAGATGCTAACTCCACTCTGCGCTCTTCAGGGCACCCTACAATGGAGAATATCTTATCGAAGGTACGAATCCACTCCTCGAGTATGACAGGGTCCTCCTCTCCGGCGAACATCGGTGGTCTATGGCCCGAGACTAGACGTCCCACATCTCGATGTCCGGCAGGCTGTGGCGGCGGAGCAGGATGATTGTTGTTCAGAAGAGCTTCACTCAAGGTTTGCATGTTCTGCGTGAGATGTTGTAGGTTCTGAGCTAGTTGTTCGTTGGTTGGTGGTGTACGAGCGCATTGACGAGGCGGAGCCATAGTGCTACTTCTACAACAATAACGCGGTTACGGTAGGCACAAACAACAACGCACCCTTACCTGGCGCTAACCAAAAGAACACTAAGCTAAGCAGAAACAACAAAGCAAACAGAACAAACGATAAACAACACACAGCTCACCACGCGTCCTAACAGTCCTAATCACTTAGATACTTAAGGTCACCTTAGGGTCTCAAACAACTTCTTAAAAGTCCAGACTCTAACATCCTACGCGCAAACCTAGGCTCTGATACCAACTGTTACACCCCTGATTTTCACAACTTTTAAAAACTTAAGAGCATAAAGCAAGGTAACTAATAGGTAGCATCAAATTTAAAGAACAGCGAAAGACTTTAATTAAAAACGGGAAAAACCGGAAGTGCTATGCCACATCCACATCAAAGCGGATGCACAGGCTAGTCAAAACAGACGTTCTAAACATGTTGATAACCATCCAAGGCTCACAGGCCCAAAACTCTAACTAAACAGTCCAAGGGAGCTATACTAACAAACAGACAGCTAGCGCGCTCTCCAAAAGCTACTCAAGACCTGTAAAGCAACATAAAGAAAGGGGACGACGCCCGGTCAGCGAATATTGCTGGTAACCCATCAATACGCGTTAAATAACATATATAGATAGTATAAATGAAATCAATTTGGAAATGGGATACAGTATATATCAGTTCAAACATCATAGAAACAAATCAACTGCAATGACTCTTTCACACTCTCAAAGGAACAAGGGAAGTCAACATCCCATAACAACAACAAGACAAGAACAACCACAGAAGACAAATACAACTCGAGGTGTATTCTACTAATCACAAAGTAGAATACCACTCGACATACTCATTAGCAAAGAATAGACATTCACACATTGGCAACTACATGCCACAGTGACACTACATGTCACAAGTTCCAACCTTATGCCCTGTTCCAACCTTATGGCTACCCTCGGCCTTATTACAGTTCCAACCATTACCTCCGAGAACCCCTATACTTCTGAGTCCAACCTTATGCCTTCAAGGACCATCGTCCCCACTCCAACAATTCCTAACAAGGTCTCCGACATATGAGTACATGAGGGTACCATTCATTTCATTCACACAATCTCCAACAACTGAGCCTACGCTCAGATTACACCATCAATTTCATTCATGTCCACCACGAGGACCACATCTGTACCTTGGAGATTAAGGTCCCATACCCTTAATCGTGCAATCAAGGTACAACAAATACACACGTTTTCATCACAGGAATCAATCAATGGATCACAACAAAGATATGAAACAATACTCAACAAGGAAGGATTACAATCCGACACCAACGATGGTCAACACAAGTTGCCAACTTCAATAGGAAAGAACAAACCGCACACACTAGCATTTCAACATCAAACTAGCATGCTTATCAAACAGGTAAACCAAACATAGTTCCGTAGAACATACAAGACTCATCATAGTCCAACGAATCACAAAGTTGGACACTTAGCGCGATTCAAGACACCAAATCCTACATGATTTCCTAACATACTGTTCTAGACATACGAAACATCAAGAAGACACTCAATAGCCCAATAAAACAACATCAGGAGGTCAACATCAACAGTGTACCCTGTGGGTGGGGCTATGGGTGGACCTCCACCCGTGGTTCCGCCCGCGGGTACCATCACCCACGAGGCCTGTACCCCATGGGTGGGGCGGCGGGTGGAGCTTTTCCCACCGTTCCGCTCGCGGGTACACTCCTGTACACCAAATAATCCCTTCGGGGATTTTCCAGAAGAAGTCCAAATTCAAGTCCAAAACACCCAAAATCTCACGCAATAAAACAATATGACTTGAACCAAAGAAATAGCCAAGCAATGGCATACAAGAACCCTAATAACAAACTCTAGACATGCATTACCACAAGACAATGCATCAAAACTCACATTTCATCACAAAAATCACACGTAGAAGCAAGAAATCATCATATAAGTAAGAAAATAGATTTTGTAGAGCAAGGGTTACCTTTGTAGCCTAACACTTCACTTTTCTCACCCTTAAAAGCTTCTCCTAAAGCTCTTCTTCAACTCCAACTTCATAAACACACCACAAGACAACAAAGATTCTATTTTTAGAAAAAGACATCTAAAAAGATACTAAAAACACCAAGACATCAAGGATCTTTCCCTCCCCTAGGCTCAAGGTTAAGAATGTATGAATCTTGGTGTAACACCCCGAAATTTCAGAACATTTTAAAACTTATAAAATAAAGGTGAAATCTCATTAAATCCCAAAACATAATACAAGAGTACGAGGTGTTATGCCACACCTGAGCTAGAGAACTCATGTGCACAGGCTAACTAACTAATATCCTCAATAATGTAAACGCATAAACATGGCACGCAGGCCGAAAGGGAAACTATCTACTTCTACGCTCTAAGTTCTAGCGCGCTCCAGTGACTTAATCTTCTGTGCCTGAAAGCCAAATATATCTGTTCAGCGAGAGATGCTGGTAACCCACTCCAACGCGTTGAAATACAATACATATAGTTATATACATAGATATACGAAAAGTCATTTCGAAGCATGAAGATATATCCTAAGAGACTCTAGCTTTCAAATCAGGGAACCGACTCGACAAATAGGGGTACACACAATCAACAGTCATAATCAAGCATGTACAATTCTCACATAGGAAACAGTCATAGATAAGCACAACCAATAATCACAATTAGGCATTACTAGCAAGAGCCCTATAACAGTCACAACATCAACCCTTCTTATCTCATCATATAGCACACTTTGTTGGCGCCACAGGACCAATCGCATGCCCATACATGAGGGTCAGCGCATATAGCTCTGACACGGCCCCGCAGCACCCTGCCCCGTCTCACAATACGGAGGGGTCGATCGCAACCGACCGATGAGCCGCAGCTCTATATAATATTTATATACCTGACCGGTCTTTACCAGCCTGGTTAACAGTTGGGATGGTTCTCAACCCATTCAACTACCCGTATAGTGTACCTTTGTCCTATATAATATTTATATACCTGACCGGTCTCTACCAGCCTGGTTAACAGTTAGGATGGTTCTCAACCCATTCAACTGCCCGTATAGTGGACCTTAGTCCTATATAATATTTATATACCTGACCGGTCTCTACCAGCTTGGTTAACAACCGATATGGTTCTCAGCCCACCCGACTGCCCGTATAGCCCGATTGATCTCAACCAAATCGGGGTAACATGCACACATAACACATAGCAAGCGCATGCAACCCACGTTAACACATTAGCAAGGGGGAGGAAACGTATAACGAAACCTATGCGTGATCCTTCACATACTAAGAATAATCCTAAGGGGTTCATACTTCTTTCACCTAGGTCAACGGGATACCAATTCACTAGAATGCAATATATAAGACTCATATGACCTACGAATGGTACCCGAAAATCAGACTAGACATAGGCACGATAGACGGAGTCCGTTGGGACACCACGGGGGTCGGGGGAACATCAAACGGGGAAGCCGGGATCCCGAAGTGTGGGAATTTCTAGCGGGTAGCCGATGGGTGGGGGTTCACCCGCCGGCTGCCCGCCGATGTTACTGTTCCGGGCAGCGGGTGCCCGCTGCCGGAGCTCTCCTTTTTGGCCGCGTGTAGGTGGCGGGTCCCCTACCCCCCACTGACTCTTTTTAACCAAAAACGCCCCAGGAACTTTTGTGGAACCCGAAACCATGCTTAGACACTTTTAAACGCAACTGATAGCACACGTAGACAATTAATGGATCAAAATCAAGAAACATACGGTACATAGCCTATCATGCTTTTCTAAACATAATCAACACCCAATCATGCGAATTCCCACCCAATATACCCAGAATAATACCATACAAATTCCACGATATAACCTAGGTGTAACACCCCAGATTTTCAAGACATTTAAAACTTATAATAAAGGTAGAATCTTATTAAATCCCAAGATATAAATACAAGTGTTCGGGGTGCTATGCCACACCTGGGCTAGAGAACCCAAGTGCACAGGCTAACTAACTAATATCCTCAAGGCGCAAATACGTAAACGTGGCACGTAGGCCAAAAGGGAAACTATATACTTCTAAGTTCTAGCGCACTCCAGTGACTTAATCTTCTGTGCCTGAAAGCCAAATATATCTGTTCAGCGAGAGATGCTGGTAACCCACTCCAACGCGTTGAAATACAATACATATAGAGATATATATAGATATATGAAAACCATTTTGAGCATGCAGATATATCCTACGAACTCTAGCTTTAAAACCGGGAATGACTCGACAGGTAAGGCCAGACGCAAGCAACAGTTATAACAAGCACATGCAGTTCACAACAGATAAGGCAGATAAGGCAAAGCATAAACAATGATCATAACCCAACATGAACAATCCCCAATATAAATCCCATAGTCACATCCCCCAAGACACTCGTAATCACAACTCGTCCATGTCACAGCACATAACACACTTTGTTGGCGCCACAGGACCAATCGCATGCCCATACATGAGTGTC